AATGACAAAACATACAAATCATATAAAAAATAAACAACTACAACATAACTCCAAATAGCACAGAAATAAAGTTGAAATCACAACAACTGATGTCACTTTCAATAAAAAAAAAAACACAGAATCATGGAAAGTGACAATATACCGAACACAATAAAACACATCTCAGAAAAAATGCAGAGGCTAAAAACAAAACAAAAAAACCCTTAAACACCCAAAAACTGGACAACCACTTAATAAACACAAATGAAGATCAATGATGAACGGCAAAAAAGAACACAAACTTATGCCCAAAATTAAGTCAAGCTCACAGCTTAATACCTAGACAGCATAAAAAAGAGAACTTAACATATACATAGGTAAAATATAAAACAACTTACAAAAATCACCCAAAACAAAATAGGATCAAAGAAATACTAAAGATAAATATGATAACCTCCCGGACTCTAAGAAACACAAAAGAAAAAAAATAGACCCATGGCAATTCAAAAATAAATCACCATGGATTTATGTAAAGGCCCCTGTTGTTTTTTGTGAATTTTGTTACCTACAGATGGGTCCACATGTACTCAGCCAGCAAGGAGTCTAAAGGGAGGCTCCAGTGACGGCTCCTGGTTTCCCTATTCCTTGAAATTGCGGGAAAAAGTGTTTTTCCTCCTAATGTTATCGATAATGATACTGTTATTATTCTAATTGATATGACTATCAAATTATTATTAAAATCATGGTAACATTAAAGACAATGAAATATTAAAGAAACTTTCCAAAAATCAAGGAAAAGGGTAAACAGGTGAGATGGGTAGGACTAATAACTGACTCCTTGGTGAATAAGCACTTATAGAGCCATCTAAGTGTAATTACAATAAATAAACTTATACTACAGTGAGCATGGCATTTATTCTTGCCATCCGTGCTGACTGGGTTAAAAGAAATAACATACTTCAATGAATAATATTCAGAATTTTGGATTCAAAATCAAGACCCAAATTATTCAATATATCAAAGAGATTTCAAGTCTAACTGCTACATGTGATACTTTTAAGAACAGAATAAAATCAAACGAGGGGAGGGTTAGCATTTTCCATTAAAAAAAGCATGCCATTTTAAACAAGATTTCATAGTTAACTTTAAAGAAGAAAAGAAAGAAAGAAAGAATGAAAGAAGAAGAAGAAAAAAAAACAAACCACTTGGGATAAAATTAATTACCCGAGTAAATGGTTAATTATATTATTGGTCCGTAATTCTTGCACCAAATAGAAAAAAACACTATGATAAACAGATAGATGAACCAAAACTATTTCCTACTCACCACCCCTACTGGGACCCAAAATCAAATAGGCAAAGAACAGGCAAATAATAACTAGGATTTATTACAAACCAAAAAATTAATACTACAGTACTCACTCTACCAAGTCAACCACAATAGATTCCAAAACAAATAAAGAATCAGCATTAGATATGGTAATAAGCTCGCCCCACCCTGATAATTCTGATACTGAAAGAGGCCCAAACCTCGGCAATGATCATCTCCCATTCACAATAAACGAGAATTCTAAAAATGGAAATCCAGAATGAAAAGAAAAGATAACCCTGAACGAATACAAAATGTGATGATATAATAAAAAAAAAGAGAGAAACCAAGCTAACATTATACGTATGGAGAAAGAGACCAAATTCTTAAAACTCGGAGGAATAACAAAAAACTAGAATGAGATGCTATAAAAACAGAAAATAGAATTGGAAAATTATAAAAACTCCAGCAAAAGAGTCTGTAATTTTGTGAAAAAAATAATGGGCAAAACACGGCAGAAGAACATCCAATAATTTACAGGTAAGAAACATTAAAACAAAACTTGATTTATTCAAAATTGAAAAAAAAAACATATAAATAAACAGAAAACAAAAAAACTAACTAACAAAAGCACAAAAAGACATTAACAACAGACACAGGAAAATTAAAAACCATGGAAGAACTGACCAGAGAAATCACAAACACAAAGAATAAGAAAGTCTATGATCCAGACAAAATCTTATAAAAAAGCACCCAATAAAAATCTTCAAGTAATTCTAGAGCAACTGAGATATTACCAGATAATGCGTCAATATCCAAAAAAAAATTCAAACTAGCCTTAATAAAACCTGTCGTAAAACCAGGGAAAAAACCCAAAGAAATTACTTCCTACAGATTTATAAGCAGACTATCATACTAGGAAAAATATATGAAAACATAATTACTAACAGATTAACTTGGTGGACACAAGAAAATAAAAAATTAACAAGAGATCAAACAGGATTTCAACCTGATAAAACAACATTAGATGCTCTAAAAACAAGATATAAATATCAACAAGGCAAAAAGAGAAAAAATATACTATAATTGCCTGTCTTGATCTAGAAAAGGCCTTTGACTCGCCTAACCATGAAGCCATACTAACAAAGGCGAACAAACTAGGAATAAGTGGTTCACCTCTAAGATGGCTTTGTGACGTTCCACAGGACAGAGAACTCCAAATTATAATAAGGCACGGGTGAATTTTCACAATACCTTCGCATGACCGATTAGGATGATTTTCGTATCGATGGATTCCTCTAACTCTCTAGTATGCATGAGTAGATGTAGAAATTATGCCGCAGAACCCCCCCCTCCCCTGAACCCCCACATTCTTGGCCACGATAGCAGGGGAGGGATATTGTGGGGTAAACTAACAATACGACCTCCCTATGGGGGTACTCTCCTTCCCCCCCATACCCCTGCCCAGGAAAACAAAGAATCCTCACTATATGTACAGCAGGATAAAGCACAGGACAGACTCAGCATTAGGCACTCCAGCATGCCGGTCATATACTCTACTCTGCTATGAATACATGGAGGATTCTTTGTCTTTCACTATAGGGGTTGGAGGGTGGTAGCCCCCCAGGAGGAGGGTTACAAGAAGCATAGATCCTTGAATCAGACAATATAGCAACTCATTCTGCATATATTATTCATATTTACCCAGCAATTTCCCTGGTATCTTTCATGTACCAAAAGAACTCATTGGAAAACATTACTTGTCAATGCGAAAAAAGAAAATAATATATGCAGAAGACCTTATCATTATTACTGCAAACAAAAACTATGAAGTTGTAACAAATAATTTGGAAAGAAAAGTGGGATTTTAAAATTAAATATAATAAAATGCAAGATCATGAGCTTTACAAACAAAATAAGATACACACCAAAAGTGGAAATAAATAATATAGATCCTAACTTCACAACCATTCACAAAATATTAAGATTAACGTTTGAAGACCCAAGTAAGAAGATGGTATGACAGTAGAAATGATACAAAATGAAGCCCTGAGAATAAGCAACAGGTTATTTTAAATTAACCTTGGCAAACGATATAGCCATAACAAATCTAATACTAATAAACAACAGAATAAAAGAAATAGAACATTCCAAAAAGCTAAAAATCCTAGAAAAACAAATGACACACCATTAAAAACACTCTGTAAAGGAAAACATAAACAATTATAACCTCGCCGCTGACAGGAAAATGTTAGTTCACAGAGTCACAAATACTAAAAAAGACTTAAAATTAAACATTCAAACAAATACTACCCCTGATATGACTACCATTCACGACATCTCACAAAGTATAAAAAACAAACTATATGGAAAATATTTAAAAACTACCTCAAGACCAGCTAATACAGACCCACTTCCACTAATTACCGAAACTACCAAAAGATATTTAAACGTAGTTCAAGAATAAATGTAAGAAAATCAACAAAAGCTGCAATATACAAAAAAAAAACAAGAATCTATCAACAATATGAAAAGTCCCTAGAAACACTGAATAATAATGAAAATACATGGCATTCCAACAACTAACATACAGCATTACTCTCACATATTCAAAGTCAGCATTTCACTAAATTAAGTTACAAACTCAACAATTACAAACAGATTACATACGAGATACTGAAATTGATCTCCTCATTGCTCTACCCACAGCGGGGTGGGTAGAGCGAGCTGACATGCACGAGTACCTCAAGCTGAGTCTGTCCAATGCTCCCTCCTGCTGTGAATATGTGGAGGATTCTCTGTTTTCTTGGGCACAGGTTGGGGGCAGTAACCTCCCAAGAGGGACTTTGCCTATTAGACAGTTTGGTGACTGATTCAGAGCTGTGATTACAACAGAGTTTGAGAATTCCACACTGTACATGTGTGACTGGAACTCCCGGAAAAATAGTCAATAGACATCACATTGTGATACCATAAACATAACCACATGTTGAATTTACATCCTCAGATTTAACCCAATGCTGACAGGTGAAAAAAATATGAAAATTTTAAACTCTGTAGATTTGTGGCAATGAGCAGACACTGGGCACTGGAGTCTGCAACATCAAGCTGAACGTCCCGCTCTAAGCGCTCTGGTACATCGCCGCACATACAGCCATACCGTGCATACCGAGCGATTTATTATGATGCCGATAGGGGTGGCTCGTCACTGTCGGGTTAATCCCGTTTATAGAGAAGGAATCTGATGATCATACCTATCACCTCATCTCTGTGGTCATAGTCTCCCTGTAGCATCTGTTGGCACCTATTTTCTAAATCTATGGTGCTAGATTTTGCCTTGGCTGATTATCCATTATATCTGTGTAGTTTACTTTTTCCTCACTTTCGGGCAATGTCCTTCGATTTCTTGTATTATAGTGTAGTCATTATGTAAATACAGACACTAATTTTATCGCCTTCCTTCACTAGTTACTGCTTAAACCTTCTCTCGAAATCTCAAAAAGTTGACTAGAAATCGTGTTAAAATGAAAAGGAATGAAGACCTAAAAATCAGCTGATGTCTCCCCCACCCAAATTCCCCGGTATTACCCCTACATTTAACGGAGTGTAACGCACATTCGTACATTACATACATGTTCATTCATCTACACTGAGTTTTAATTCATTTCTTCGCAGCAAATAACGAGAAAACATTGGTCCTTGGCATCCTCACCTTGACCGGCCTTTGTTGTCCTTTCGTGGTCGGTTGATCTCCGGATCTTCTAATGCAGATTTGGTAGGCTACACTTGTATTTTTATTATTGTGGCGCTATTAAAGGCAATAGGATTATTTATACCATTACTTTTGTATCGCTAAGTACTTATTAGATATATGGAAATCGAGTTCGGAGACCCAAGATGGACAAGAGGCGCATAAAAGGAAGATTTCCGAAAGAAATTATTCGTTTCCTATTGAAATATCCGATTGACTGCAGCTCTGATTGCATTATATAAAGACACAAACCTTGCCTTAAATCATCAACCCTTCAAGGAAATTCTTTGGCATTCATTGACCTTACCAACAGGAATTCGAGTGTTCTTAGCAGCAGAAAACACTATTAAGAATAAATTTTAAAAAAGGAAACAAGAGTCGCACCCAATGCTACCAAATACCGGAATATTAGCTTGCCTTATATAATGATGGTAATACAGAACCAAACTTCTTTTTATTCCGTGATGTATATAGACCCACCAGATTTATTCTACAGCCTTTCTTGACAATATCTGATACACATGTATTTTCCCCTTTTATCTATTTTCCCTCCATGTAGTGGGTCACCCCCCCCCCAAGGATTAAATCTTGCACCCTGTACAAAAGTAATGTCATTTGTGAATATGCTAAGTCAAATATCTATATATTTTTTTTAATCACATACAGTACTAGAGATGAATAAACTGAAGTAAAGAATGAACTTTTAACTGCATACATGCCATTAACACAACAGAACTATTGCAATGAATCCCACTTATTAAGATAAATTTGATGAATTCGCAAACCCTTTGTCTTATGTGGTTAAGTTGGTTTAGTACTGCTCACTAAGGCCACACTAGAACAGTTATCTATCTATATCGATGCGTTTCTGTATTATTCCATCTTGTGTGAAACTTTTCAGACAGATCCGCAGTTCTCCCTGGGTTGGGAAAGGGACGATCTATATTTATCCCTATCAGTGTCATCTCTTTCCCCCTGGGGCCCTGGCACACCGGGTGGGAATCACATCTGATGTAGATATACATTTTTTTTTCTTCCAGACATCTGCTATCGTTTTTTCTCCATTTTTTAGATGTCAGCTCTTTATTTGGAAAATTCTAAACAATGACAATATTTAGCGGCTAACTTGCCTCCCCTTCCCACTGAAACCTTTCGCTGCCTGCTGAACGTTCATGACGTCACAAGAACACCATTGTCATAGTAAGCGGGGAACTGATTAGCCCCTTGCTTCTGCACATGCGTGACACCATGTCGTTGCTCAAGGCCTTCGGTGGTCGTTTGCCTGAACCGGTAAAGGCTAGTTATGACAACGAACATCTAAATAAAACACCAAATGCATTGTTTTATATTCAACAATTACCAGAACTGCCTGTTCCCCTAAAAAATAACTTATATCGGGATCAACATTTTCAACCAAAATGCAGTTTATAGGCTAAAACAAAATAAAAACTTCTCATAGTAGTATCTTATATATCAAGCTGATTATTTCCATGGGGAAAAAATACATACCTTATAAAACTTTAGTTTCAATGAAACTTTAATCTGATATCATATGGAAAGATAATTTTATTGTAATTCTTTACAAACAGAGTAATCAATGCAGGCTCGGTTTGCAATAGTTATATAGTCCTGATTCTTGTGATGAAGGTAAAAAGAAATATATATATATATATATATATATATATATATATATATATATAATTCCTAGGTCGTAACTATACTGGAGGTAGCACCAGTGTGATGGTTGGCAGAACGCCCCCCCCCCCCCCCCAAAAAAAAAAAAAAAAAGGGAGAGAGAGAATGAGAATGAGAATGAGAATGAGAGAGAGAGAGAGAGAGAGAGAGAGAGAGAGAGAGAGAGAGAGAGAGAGAGAGAGAGAGAGAGAGAGAGAGAGAGAGAGAGAGAGAGAGAGAGAGAGAGAGAGAGAGAGAGAGAGAGAGAGACTAGAGAGAGAGAGAGAGAGAGAGAGAGAGAGAGAGAGAGAGAGAGAGAGAGAGAGAGAGAGAGAGAGAGAGAGAGAGAGAGAGAGAGATACCTTATAGCTGTGGTTGGTTCTTTGTCATAGGAGTTACGATGAACATATAGTAACTACAATACAACTAACCGGATATGGTAAGTACATATATGCAAGGCGTCTCAGTTGTGTATCAGAAGCATGAAAAAATATGCCTGGATCGCACTTCGCCTTGCGTGGGGTGTTTGCGACTGTGTCCGAATGTAATCGTATGATAAAGGCTCGACTTGTAAATAACTGAATTCTGAATAATTGCCACAAATAAGATAAAATTATAATTTCATCGAATCATAATTTATGTAAGGTATATACAGCATCTATTTTTTTGTTTCTATGAAAATAATTAGCTTGATATATACAATACTGGAGTATCGGAACGCATTATTTACATCTGGAAATGGTGCAGGTGATGGTAAAGTTTTTATTTTATTTCAATTTGCATATTGTATTTTCTTTAAAACATACTTATCCAGATGTATAGTAGATTGTTATGAAAGCAACTCGTACTGGTGACTTGCATATTAAGAAAGGCATTTAACGTATTAACTAAACATAAATTGTCATAACTGGCATTTATCAGGTTCGGGCAAACGAACCCTGAAGAATTTGGGAAACGAAGCGGTGTCACGCATGCGCAGAGGCAACGGGAGGAGACTGTTCTCGGCTCCGCCTACTCTGGCGATGACCCCAAGGTGATGTCATGTCATCAATTCGAACGTTCAGAATTGATGTAAGTAAACCAAGTAAACCAAGGCCGGGACAGCGACGCTTTAATACACCTTCTTTCAAATTCGGCAAAGACTAAAAGGTGGAAGATAAGAAAACAAGAAAGATCGGTTCGCGTTGGCTTAATTTTTCACTTAATAGATTGCGTCAGTGAGGCTTTTTGGCGTTTTCGGGTTGTTTCCGCCAAATATTTCCACTTATTTCTTTGTTATAATGAATGCATACAGTATATGTTACCTTGATGTTAGCAAATAAAATTCTTCTGTAACTTTTCATTTGTTTAATGCCAACTCGCAACTGCAGTTAGTAAAGTAAACATAATTTGTGCATTCGCGTTGATATCTTAGTTAGAATTAAGAAAAACTAAAAAGAAGAAAAAAATCGTTGATAACGGAAAATGGCTCCAATTATATATAGTTTAAATAATAGGAATCATATGAAATAATTATGTGTAATACTGAAGTAATCGGATATTATATATCTAAATTAGTATTTTCACCGATAGATGGCAGCACTATTTATTTTTTATTTCATTCCCTAGTCTTTCTACAATCGGGAGGTCCTGCCTAATTTCCTGGACGCGTCTCTGTCTATTAGGAGAACGTCCGAATTCATGACCTCTTTATGACGTCATCATCTGACCAAGAACTGACTAAACCTTCTGGTTTATGTGCATGCGTAACGCCGTTTCGTCGCCCAAGCCCTTCAGTGCTCACTAGTTTGATCTCGATAGATGTCAGTTATGACAATTTAATTTTAATTAATACACGAAGTGCATCACCCATCATGTGACAGTCGCCGGTACTGGTAATTACCCAACTAATTAAATATCTACCTAGATCAGTATTTAAGGGAAAATGCAATTTACAATTTAAAACAACATAAAAACTTTACACATATACTGCACCATTTCCATACGTAGAGACTGCGTGCTGATAATCTTTGTTGACTACAATATCGTATATATCTAGCTAATTATTTTCATGGAAACAAAAAGAAAAAGTTTTATATGGCGTATGTACCTCATATAAATCATGACTCAAGGGAATGATAATTCTATATCATCTATCATTAACAATTTTGGTTGCAGGTCTTTAAATATCGAGTATTCGTCACATGATTGCACGATTGGACACAGCTCGCAAACACTGTTATCGCGCGAACTTTGAAATATGTTTGAGGCATATTTTTTTCCACACTTTTTGTCAACCATTGAGACGACTTGCATGAAAGTAGTTGAAATATTTGGTTAATGGTATTGTATCTACTATATGTTCACTGTAATTTTTATAATAAACGGCCAAACAAAGCTTTAAAATCTCTCTCTCTCTCTTCGTCAAGATTTGGAGCAAAGGAAAAAGAAATAGGCCATTTTTAAGAGCATATATCATTGCAAGTAGAACAATGAAGGGAAGTACAGGAAAATACACGAATAAGCCAAAGGCATACTGCCCTGATGAAGTAGTAAATGCGAAAAGGCCTTCGGCATATTCGTGTGTTTTCCTGTACTTCCCTTCATTGTTCTACTTGCAATTTGTTCGACATGAATTCCACAAGCATATATCATAGACAAGTTTCACATTGTAGTCGTCCATGGTTATTTCGTTATATGTCATCATGCTGAATGAAAATATGAAATGCCCTACAGATGTTGGCATCATTTGATTATACACATCAATAAATGAATTTAACAAAAATGTAAATCTCAGATAAAAACATGAGAAGTCTTGAAATCGAGATCATGGCAGTTGGCTGATAGCTATTGAATTAAAAAAAAGGAAAGAGACAGGAAAGACTTTGGTAAAGGAATAGTGTGCGGGGAATGAATGGAAGATAGATAAAAACTGAAAGAGAGAGAGAAAACACACACACACACACACATATACAGGGAGAGAGAGAGAGAGAGAGAGAGAGAGAGAGAGAGAGAGAGAGAGAGAGAGAGAGAGAGAGAGAGAGAGAGAGACAGAGACAGAAGGAAGTTTCTTGATTTTATACGTTTGTTAAAAATGATGTCCACGATACGGACGTGTAATAGTTCACTGGCATTTTGGCATTACCGTATCACATAGTTTTTTTTTGTGTAGTGACCCTATTCGTGTAGTGATGATGATTGTATTGTGTTTCCCACCCATGTATCCAAAATATGTGTCGTTTATTCCTCGTACTGGCTTTGTCGTTCCCGTGGCGTTAGACTAATTTCATCTTTCAAAACAGGCGAGCTTCGAACGCCTGACTCGCGCCCCGAACTGGCGTAATAT